AGGTAATCTCTTATTAATCAGCGTTTTTACGCAAAAACACGTAAAAAAGCTATGTCGATACTGATTTTAGCTGACCGCATATCTGATACCTGGGGTCAAGAGTTACCTAGGGACAACAGTTCTAATGGTCACTATATCTCGTCGTGCAGTAAATGCATCTTTGGCTGATCGGTATTTGGGAGCTGGATTATGGTATAGAATCTGGATCGTGGTCAACAGCTGATTTGTAAAAAACCAGAGTCTAAACACAGGTTGTTGGTAGAAAATGAAGATAACAGAAAGATTAGCCCCTCTACTGCATACATCAACTGCCATTAGTTATACATGTTTGTTTACTTCAGAAGGTATTAGCCAATTTTTTTATGGATTTGGATTACATCTAAAATTTCATGGGTTTTTCAGCCTGGCAAATGCACTGCAACCAGGGTCAGTTAAAAAAGTGAATAAAAGTGCAATGGCTTTCAAACAAATGGAAAATATTTCGTTCTTCTTATCATTCGCCGAAAAACACATCACGAAATCGGAGCTCTTCCAGACAGTTGATCTTTTCGAGGGACAGGATCCAAATGCAGTTGTAATTTGTCTTGCATCACTAGCGAGGAAAGCAGAAGAACTGTTCGGAAAGCCGGGCTTGGGACCTAAGGTATTCACTTGTAATCATTACACAGTGATAATGATAAAAGTATTACCATTAAGTATAATTAAAGTTTTGTGAAAGAGAAATCATATCCTTTTATAGATTTTTTTAAATTAAAATTCGACGTTTTATTACGACTTTCACTCTGCTGCTTTGATTAGCTGTTGTTTCACGGTCGCCTTACTTCTTGCCATTGACGCAGCTAGCAACTTCTCCATTCTGTTTAAATTTTAGGCCTCCCTCGCCCATAATTCCATTTAAGCGGATTCATTTACCGCATTGACGTTTCACAAACATCTTAATCTATTTAAAAGTAAAAAGGTTGGGGTAGGGGAATTTCCCGATTTTATCTTCTTTATAATATTTGAATATATCTGTATTTGAGTCGTCCAGGTTTTGAAACACAATTTCGCATAAAATGTGAGTTGGTTTACAATACAGAATGTGCGTGATCATGATGACCATTTCAGGAAGCAAAAGGTGAAAAGCGTGAGTGGTCAGAAGAGAAGCTTCGTGCCGGTGAGACTATCATTGGACTTCAAATGGGTACCAATAAAGGTGCAAATGCATCCGGTATAAATATGGGTAACACACGACATATGTAACACCATCCGCGCATTCGCTTAAGCCACATATCATTATTTTTTTGTTGTTGAATGATATGTTAAATACAACATTCCGTGAATTTTGAGATATTTGTGCGCCTTTCTACAAACATACTATTTTCACGATTTACATACTCCTACGATTAATTCTGACGATTTTCATACTCTTATAATTAATTTTTACGACTCTTTCCTACAACTGGTTCTCACGACTTTTCTTCTGCAGTTTTCTGATTCCTCTGTATTAGTTTCGCTATATTTAGTTTACAGTGAAATTTAACTGTACTTAAAAATGCGTTACAAAAGCGAGCTATTTAAGTGGGATTAGACAGATGTGAGAGCAAAGGGGTGATTGTTTTGGATGAGTTTTAACAGTGCATCCAATTTCGGTGTTTGGTATGCTACTGTAGTGCTGTGCAGAACGATCTAATTATTAAAGTCAAAAATCAAACTCCTACTTGTCACTTTTTGTGATAAGCCAGGCAGCTGATAGCGTTCTGAATGACCGGTTCGTTTATGATGGTACAGAATCGCTTGGGATGCCTTGTCACCAACTGTCCACCAGATAGCAAGTACACAGATCAGTGGAACAGTAGAACACTGATTAGTAAAAAGCACAGTTTTTTTTTTTGCACCATAACCGCTTGGTATATAGTGTTCCAGCTTATACAGCACACACCTAAGAGTCAGTGAGTCTCGCTATGAGGTTTTCCGAATTTTTCTGGAGGAATGCATTTTTGGCAGGCGGAAGTTGCAAAAGTTTT